CAGGGTTTCTCTGTGTAGCTTTGCGCCTTTCCTGGATCTCGCTCTGTAGACCAGGCTGGCCTCGAACTCACAGAGATCCGCCTGCCTCTGCCTCCTGGGTCCTGGGATTAAAGGCGTGCACCCCCCCCCCACTATTCTCCCTTTTGAGTTGGGGCAATTTTAGAAATAATTTTTATTTAAGTTCTAATATTTTTAGTTAATTGCATCTAAGTGCTTGCTGTTGGTTTAAAGCATTTGGGGGGGGTTCTTCATTTCAGATCTGTTTTTAGTGTATTGTAAAATTATATAGAAAGTGTTATAGTTTTCCTTTAGAAGTAACACACACACACACACACACACACACACACACACACACACACACACACTGTTTTCTTTTCAAAGTTGCAAAACCATGGCCAAAATGAGGATCAGGAACGACTAATTCTAGCGTAGCTGTGATAGACTATTTTGGTATTTCTAATTATGAAGAATTAAAATTTTATACTAAAGGGCATATGTGGATTATAACATACAAGTGGATGGTTTTATGGACAGGATATTTTCTGTGAAAAAAAAATAAAACCTTAAATAAAATATCCATAGACTCTTTTGTTTTAAAGCCAACCTTTTAAGATAAGGAAATTATATGCATTAGGAAACTCTTCTCCTCCGGGAGTCTAGCTAGGAGAGGTTTATGCAAATCTGGCATAATTCTGCATGATTGACACTAAATATTCCTATCATGTGCCAAAAGGCAAGCATGGAATCAATGAGCAAATTGTATAATTGGTTCCTACACAAGGAAAAATTCCCCCGTGCATGCACCTCCTACACCTCACTTAGCATATTGTTTCACAAAAGCGCCTCTCTCCCAGCCACAGCGATCCTTCCCCACCACTTGGTTTCGCCATCAGTCAGAAGTCAAGTATGTCATTTTATAAAGGCCTCAGGGGAATCGACTCAAGTCTGTGAGCATTACAAAACAAAACAAAACAAAACAAAACAAAAAACTTCAGAGCCCTGGGGCAGGTGCACAAGCCTCAATCATTTCACTAAAATCCGAGGAGGCAAGTCTCCCCCGACTTTGAACCTCCCTCCTCTAAGAATTCTTAACTAGGAATTTGTTTCTTTTCCCCACCCATTTAAGGAAACTACAATAAAAATTCCCCAAATCTCTTCACCTTTGACCCCTCTGAAATCTGCAGGTTGTTCATATCAGGCAAAGAAGCCTCGAAGGTTGCCATTCTGGGGTTGAAGGAGTGGGGGTCGGCGGGGGTGGCGTCACAGGCGGTGGTGAGCAGCTCGATAGGATTGGCCTCCTCGGAGGGGGAGAGGTTCATGATCTGTTTAGAAAGCAACGGGAAGAAAGCGGAACATGATGTTCCTGTCAGAAGAACACAAAGCATTACTCTGCAGGTGTTGGTTGACAGGTACGGCTCTTCCAAGTTCTACACGTCCTTGATATTGGACGTGAACATAGAAGTGGCAACCACGTAGGAATGTGGCCTCGTGGCACCATCTGTCACCTACGGAGAAGGGGTCACTTAGACTCCCCCTGAGAGTTCAGATTTCAATTCAGCAGCCACAGAAAGTGTAGTTAGCTGGAAACAAAACTCCTGAATTAATTACCAAAAAAAGCAAAACAAGACCCGAGGCTTCCCACTTCTCCAGTGGGAGCGGGAGTCCCTACTTACAAGGTCTGAATGTTCCAGGATCTGGCTGGCTGTGAGGTCCTCCTCCTCCGATGACTCATCTGAATCCTCATGGTTCATTTTATTCAGGCTGGGAGTACTTCTCGAGAGCTGGCGCTCCTCCAGGATCTGCATGTCACACTTGTCCAGGCTGTCCAGGGAACGTCTGCGCACCCCCCAGTTGAAGTTGTCCATGCTCTCCCCCTGAAAGCACACCACAGTCGGCTCTTCATGCCCCAGTCCTCTGGCACGCACGCACGCACGCACGCAAGCACGCCATCACACGGTCAGACCCAGCTCAGAAAAGAGCGTGGTCAGCATCAGCTAACTCTCAGGTCCTCACCTGCTGTGGGGCCCAGACTTCAGTTTACCAACGAGAGGAGACAAAACAGGCAGACCTTTTCTGTAAATTCGTGTTATCTCATGGGTACAAGTAGTGGCACTCTTCTCTTTGGTATATATATTTAATTTTAATTTAAATTTTATTTTTTATTTTTTGAAACAGGGTCTCATTGTATAGCCTTGGATGGCCTGGAACTCACTTTTGTAGATCAGACTGGCCTCAAACTCACAAGAGATCCACCTGTCTCTTTCTCTCTTCCAAGTGCTGAGATTTAAAGGCATGCACTACCACACCCAGCAGGTAATGTATATATTTTTAAAAGTTGATTTTGGTAAACCCTAGAAAATTATTGTGTTTTCAAAAATCTGTCTAAAAAAGGGAGACTATTAATATTAAAATAACTTTAAAATTAGTGTACACTCCCTTCTCCCACCAGCCCTGTTTAGTAGAGTTTTCAGAAGGAGAAACGAGTTTGCTCGAAGCACATTCCAGAATTCCTTGGCTATTAAGTAGAAGAGCATTAGGTAAACATCCCAGACTGTCTGCCACAGCAGATTCCACAGATAAAATGCAGTTAAAGGCTTGTGAGAGCCAGACACATTTTGGCGGGCCATGCACTACGCCGAAGCTGCATCCTGGCTTTTGCTTAAGGTTCAGTTTTCAATCATCCCAGGCTGGGAAGTGGTTACATTTCTTGCCTTTGCATCCAAGACTTCCTGCTGGCTTACCCATTCTGACTGAGAGCAGGCCTAGCTGGACATGGGAGTGTTACAGCCTGGAGTTCTAACTCAGATCTCTACAAAGCAGAAGCCATTAAACAGGTCTGTTTGGCTCACATAACTCTTCTTTTTTTTTTTTTTTTTCTGCAGAAATGAATATGGGATTTGGTTTTCTGTCTCATAAAACAGGGCTGAAGGAAGGTATCCAGCCTGATGATGAACAAATTGTCATCGGAAACGCGGCCTGACGGTTCCCAGAGTAAAGCAATGCTTCTGAGGAGAGGTCCGCGGGCAGCCGAGTAACCCGAGAGCCACGAGTGAGTCTTAAGTGTGGTGAGCGGGAGGCTGATTGCTTGTTCCTGACTCCAGATAAGGTGGGCCTGTCGGTGTCACAGTCCTCAGTGTGACAGTCCTCAGTGTGACAGACCTGTCCTCAGTGTGACAGTCCTCAGTGTGACAGACCTGTCCTCAGTGTGACAGTCCTCAGTGTGACAGACCTGTCCTCAGTGTGACAGACCTCAGTGTGCCAGACCTGTCCTCAGTGTGCCAGACCTGTCCTCAGTGTGCCAGACCTGTCCTCAGTGTGACAGTCCTCAGTGTGACAGACCTCAGTGTGCCAGACCTGTCCTCAGTGTGACAGACCTGTCCTCAGTGTGACAGTCCTCAGTGTGACAGACCTCAGTGTGACAGACCTCTCCTGTAACAGGTGTCGACTGAGTTTTTCCTAGGTCTGCTTTGACTGGCTGTGGGGAAAAGCAACAGGAAGACTCCTAAGCACATCACCCCAGATAGAGAAACTGTAACTGTCGTCTGTCCCTGTTATGGTACTTTTAGGATTTATTTATTCATTCATTCATTCATTCATTTATTTATTTATTATTATTTTCAGACAGGGTTTCTCTATGTAGATCTGGCTGTCCTGGAACTCACTCTGTAGACCAGGTTGGCCTTGAACTCAGAAATCTGCCTGCCTCTGACTCCCGAGTGCTGGGACTAAAGGTGTGCGCCATCACTGCCCGCTGGGTTTATTTATTTTTATTTTATGTACTTGAGTGTTTGCCTGCAGGTGTGAATGTGCACCACGTGTGTGCAGTGCCCGCAGAGGCCAGAGGAGGGAGTCAGGTCCCTGAAAGTGAAGTTACGATGGCTGTGAACTGCTTGGGTGCTCGGGACTGAACCTGGGTCTGTATTCATGCTTCTATACTACATGGGTTGGGCTTCCCTAGTATGAAGTATTCCAAAGTCTCAATTTTTTGAGCACCATCACGGAGCTCCCGAATAGAAAATTCCATGGTACAGATCACAATCAAAACCCAGGACCCCTAAAAATGACCTATAAAATTATCTTTAGGCTAAATGCAGAGGAAATAAAAGTGAATTTAGCATTTAGACTTAGGTATCATCCTCAAGAAACTGTATATATTATGTGTATGCAAATATTCCAAAATAAATAAGTAAATAAACAAAACTCCTCAAATCTGGAACCCTTCTAGTCCCAGACGCTCTAGATAAGGAAACTTGACTTGTACCTGTCCCCTGTAGATGGATATGATAAATTACCACTAAATAATTGTTGTATTCTTCCTGGTGGGAATAGTTAATTCCTTGGCTGAAAGTAAGTACTGTAAGTCAGAATATGAAAAAAAAAATGCACTTGGGAGGCAGAGCCAGGAAGATCTCTGTGAGTTCGAGGCCAGCCTGGTCTACAAAGCGAGTTCCAGAACAGGCTGCAAAGCTTCATAGAGAAACCCTGTCTCGAAAAACCAAAACAAACAAAAAAAATGTATAAGACCAAAAAGTCTTGAAAGAAAAGAAAAATGTAATTCATGAAGAAAGGAACAAGAATGAAGAAAGGTGAACACAGAGAAGGCGAAGACCCTGGGGAAAATACTTAAACCTAAAACACGCCACCAAATTTCCTGTGCCAAATGGACAGGCGTGTTGGGCAGGGTCTCACAAGCAATAGCTCTGGAGGTCGCCTCCGTTGATCCTAAGCCTGAAGCTTCACAGTGTATCTAAGGTAAGAGGCTGCCACACTGGGGCAGGGATGCTCATGTTGATATGGGGGACCCGCGACCTGGTGACAACCCGAGCCCCCTGTGAGTGAGAACTGGGGGGCACAGATAACAGCCGTCTTAACAGAGGATGTAACGGCTCCATTCCAGGCAAAGGTGTTGAAATGATCTCCCTGGTAGTAGCTGAGGGGTTGAGATGGAGCAACCCTTACCTACTCTAGCGCCAGGTAAGGTCCATGGTGGAAAGGCTATGGATGTAGCTAAGAGGTGGAGCACATGCTTAGCACTGTTAACAGTTCCTGGGGTGGATTTCTAGCACACACCACAAAATTCTACTGTGGGTGAAGGTCAGCCCAGATTCATTATTTTAATTTTATGTGTTTAAATGTTTTGTCTACATATGTGCCTGTGTGCCATGTGTGTGCCGTTCTGGCAGAGGCAAGAAGAGGGTGTAAGATCCCCTGGAACTGGAGTTACAGATGGTTGTGAACCGCCAAGTAGGTGTGCTGGGAACAGAACTTGGGTCCTCTGCAAGAGCAGCCAGTGTTCTTAACCACTAAGCTATCTTTCCAGCCCCGAGCCCAGCTTTCTCAGCATGGCACAAAATACACTCAGTGAGGGCCACCCATGCTGTCCTCTACCAGATGTCCAATTCTACCCTATGTCACAAACAAAGTTAAGTCAAAACCCTGTTAATTTATGATGCCAGGTTATGGACGTAAAAACACAGAGTGCGGCTAACTGTTTCAGATGGACCATTTGCACATACAGTTATCCAACTTAAACGTAACACCCAGAGTTCATATTGAGGTAGCAGAATATTCACAAATACCCCAGAAATGTAAAAAAAATGATATTCTTGAAATTATTTCAAATAAAACCCTGTTAAAATTATTGTTGTTGTCATTATTGGAGTGCTGGGGCCTGAAGCAGGTCTTTGTGTATGCTAAGAAAACGCTCTACCACTGAGTGAGTCCGACCGAGAGTGACAGGGTCATGGGTCAGCCTGCTTAAGATGCTGTCGATTTAGGTCAGGGGTCAGGGCATGATCATCACCAGCCCCGCCCCTTTCTTGAAGGACACTGGTTTGGATGAAAATTTATCTATTGCCAGACAGAGATGGCTAGCTTTGGAATCTTAGAAACGGAAGCGGGTTTTTGTTTGTTTGTTTGTTTGTTTTGTTTTTCTGGTAGGCTGGGGATGGAACCCAGGCCTCACTCATGCTAAGCAGGCATTCTACCACTTAGGGCCATCCTTAGCCTGACCTCACTTTCTACAGAATGACAGCACTCATCCAGTGTGTGACTGTCTCGTCAGGAACAGAAGGGGGCCTGCCTAGCCGTAGATCAAAGACTTGTCTCCTCTCAAGAGATACAACCATGCCACTTCCAGAACTAAGGATAATAAAGCATTTTCAGATCTTAGAATATATTTCCATACTAGAGCAGCCAAGGGGAGCAAAACAAAAGAAAAAAAACCTATCACACACACCTACACACAAGTTGGCATACATGTGCTGGAGGGGAAGCGGGGAGGGGGGGAGGAGGAGGGGAAGCACACGTTGTTATGTAACTATGCCAGGATACAGCCTGCCAGTGCACCAGAATTAAGAATAACAGCGTCTTACCTGGAGTTCCTGGGGAGCAGTTTGAATGGACAGAAAAACAAACAAAAGGTCTATTTAAAATGATTGTATAAAACACTCCAGCACATTTTTAGTTTTCACACAACAACAATAGTGTTCGCAACACATACATTCTTCAGTAGACACAACTTTAAAAAAAAATGGAGGACAGTATGTACAAACTCCAGTGAGAAAGTCAATATTCAGCACTAGAGGTTCCGCACATCTTCCTGGAAGATGACGAGGCTGACGCAACATCGTGAGCCCCACTTTCAGAAGCAGCCCCCCCACTTCAACGACAATGTTGTCCTCTTTAACACCTGTTTATTTAGAAATTGGCTAAAAGTCATGGGAGAGAGAAGAGGGAGAGAAGGTGGAGCCAGCTGACCCCCTCACTAAAAGCGTTTGCGGTTATGGTCTGTCCACCTTGGATGTGAAATTAGTAGCACAGAGAGAGCTAGATGCAACAACAACAACAAAACACAACTTGGGCTTTTGCTTGTTGTTTCTTTTTGTTTTGGCAACCCTGTTTTGATGAAGAAGCCAGACTTTGCTTACATTACCCGTATGATCACTAGCTGTTTACCACTGGTGGGGTTGTCCGGCCGACTGGTGCAGAGAGCACCAGCTGTGTGCCTGGCACCACCCCACTCTCCTGTACCATCTTCTGACTCCTCATGCTGGCCCCACAGGCAGGTTTCCTTATACCCAGGGGACCAACGGGCAGGCCTACCATTCAAGATGACGGATGCTCGGATGCTTCCATGGTACTGTGCTGACCATATCACATTTTATCTTAATTTTAGTTCGGAAACTGCAGAACATTCTCAGGGGTTTATCTATTTATTTTGGAGACTGGGGTTCCCTGTGCTGACCAAGCTGACTTTGAACTCCTGGGCTCAGGAGTACCTTCAAGTTCCTGGAGCTACAGATGTGCACCACTTTGTTTGGATATGTTTTTCTTATTCTCTGAAGCTCCTTACACGAATACTAATCTTTAAAAACACCTATTTCATTGTATGTGTATGGAGTGTTTTGCCTGCATGTATGTATGTGCAGTGCCTGCAGAGGCCAGAAGAGGGTGCAGGATTCCCCCTGGGATTGGTGTTACAGATGGTTGTGGGTTGCCGGGTAGGTGATGGGAACTGAGCCTGAGTCCTCTAGAAGAGCAGCCCGTATATTAACTGCCGTATATTAACTGCCGGCCCTCTCTACACGCCCTAACATCTTCGTCTTAGATGACAAAATAACAGATGTGATTTCCGTTGTCAGTTGCTGTTGGCTGGGACAACAGAGACAGTGACAGATGAGGTCTGGTATTCATTATTTACTGTTCTCGGAAAACATTAGGTTTTTGGGTTTGTCTTTCTCAGGGCTGGGATGGAACCCAGGGAGTCAAGCCTATCAGACTGTTAGGCAAGTGTTCTGTCACTGAGCTAGCAGCTCTGGAACTATGTTTTGATTCCCCTGCCCTGCAGGGCACTCCGTGGTGTAACCTTGTCCTAGACTGAGACAGGAAAAGGGCGGCTCTCTTGATGTCAGTGTTTCCCCTCCCTAGTTTAACTTCTGGAATTCAGAGGGTGCCGGGCTTGAACCCTAGCCTAAGAACAACTTTCAGTCAGCGGCTGGCTGGAGGAGCCCTTGGCCTTGGCTGACCACTCAGCTCTGGCTCAGACATTTCAAAAGAACTCAAGACTGAACTGCTTTGTGTTGTGTTATCATTTGGAAACAATCTTCATTGCGTTTAGTGAATTCCTTCTTGGTCACTAATTATGGTTAGCCGGATCCCCTGCAATCCTCTTAATTGGTCTAAGAACAGCTTAAGATGAAAATTAAGCATTCAATCGAAGCTTGCCTTGCAGTCAGCCCCCCCCCCCCC